GACCCTTTGCTTCATTTGATAAGGGTGTCTCATCATTATTCTTTTTTAAATCATAAATATTTTCATCTAGAAATTATCTTTGTTTTGTTTACCAAGATGGCTGATTGAGTCAATAACCTTGTTTACTGTAATTAGTCCTGCCTAAATGCCAAGTTTAAATCTCATTACTTACTACTCAGTTATCAACAACCGATGTTTCATTCTCGTGGTAGTGAGTAAGAGACAACTGATTTGAATATGACTGACCGCTCCTTCGAAGTTTGGAGTTTATAATGAAGTCTGAACTGAGATTCTTTTAGGTTCTTTTACTGTGTCTCTCTTTCCAATTGTTTATCTCATTGAAGTGACATAACACATCTGGAATTTGTACATTGCACATCCATTCAGATAATGTGCTAATAATTATATTTGAATACACATGTTTTTTGGTATCTCTTCCACTGCGTCTGTTAAAACATAGAGTATTATGCTTTTCCGGACATTGCTAGTTTGTCACTGATTCACTTTTGCCTTTCTGCAGAAATCTCTCTGATGTTCTGGTGGAGGCAATATCAAAAGGTAAGATACTGTCATTGTACCAAGGTCTGGGAACCAAGAACTTGCAATCTTTCATTGCGCAGTTTGTGTATTTCTATGGATATAGCTACTTTAAGAGACTCTATTTAGAGAGAAGTGGTTCCAAATCCATTGGAACAACAGCCAATTTGCTAATTGCAGCAGCAGCTGGAGCTTGTACAGCCATAACAACTCAGGTAAGAAGTTCGTGTACTTGCATTTGCTTAGTATCTTGTTAAGTGGCTTACTAGAAATAGAAGATCTTCCTGTTTTTATCTCACTTGCATGTTGTGAGGAAATACAGCGTAGGAGTGTGTTTTGAAGACATACTTTTTTATCAACAGCAAATGCTTCTTAAGGAACAATCAAGCATTTTGTTTGTTTGTTTTCAACTGGGGAAGGAACTAAGAAAAGAACTGTTGAGACATTGAAACTAGTTTTATGCATCTTTCAAATAGTACGTGTTCACAAATTTCCCAAGGAAAAATTGCAAAATTTTTGTTGCGTATTAGACGCAGTGCTCCTAATCTGAATCTTGCAACATAGACCAGCAAAAAATTAATGGAGCGACTTTCCAGGTTGTTCATAGCTGCCCTTTGCAAAAGGTGTAGTGCAACTCTCTCAATGTAAGATTGTTGCTCTAAACACAAACTTTCTCAAATGTCTAATCATGGTGTGTTATAAGGTCATGACTTATATATGATAGAAGAATTGCAAATGTAGGCACATGAGCCAAAAACTCATTGTCAAATGTCCATGGTTCTTACTCCAATTGTTTGAAATCAAATTCCACTGATATTTATGCCAAAAGCTCAATTGGATTCTGATGTAAAGTTATTGATGTTCTTTAGCCACTGGATACTGCTTCCTCAAGGATGCAGACAAGCGCATTTGGGAAATCGAAGAGCCTTTGGATAACACTCACAGAAGGTAGTTGGAGTGAAGCATTTGATGGCCTTGGGATTTCTTTACTATTGACATCCAACCCTGCCATTCAGGTACTTAAGTATTTTCTTGTAAAATTGAAGGGAGTGTCTATAGTTGCACTAGTATACAGATTTGATTTGATCAAATGGAGCCTAGCAAATTCAAGTAATGTTATTACATGTGAAGCGCAATTTCTTACTGATTGACGATAGAGTATATGCTAAAATAGATGTTCATGTGATGCAGTATACAGTTTTTGATCAGCTTAAACAACGATTGCTGAAAGATAAAGCGAAGACAACAGAGAAAGGCACATCGCCTGTTGTACTTTCTGCATTCTCTGCTTTTGTATTAGGTGCACTGTCAAAGAGCATAGCTACTGTTCTAACCTATCCAGCGATCAGGTTGGATCTCTTTTAACTTTCATCACGTATTGATGTTATTTCAGATCAAATGTTAGCCTTTTAACATTAACCTGAAATCAGGTGCAAGGTCATGATTCAAGCAGCAGACGATGATGACGATAAGAAGGCTGAACCTAAATCAAGTAAGACAATAAGTAGTGTCATATGGTCTATCTGGAAGAAAGAAGGATTCTTGGGTTTCTTCAAGGGATTACATGCTCAAATCCTCAAAACAGTGTTAAGCTCTGCATTGCTTCTAATGATCAAGGAAAAGATCTCTGCCACAACTTGGGTCCTCATACTCTCACTTAGGAGAATTCTGCTGCTCAGGCAGAGAAAGCTAAAAAGTGCTTAAATTGTGATCATTTCAGCTCAAGTCCTGAGTAAAACAGGCTTATTATATGAGAAATCAGAAGAAAGAGAGTTCATTGCAAGGTTGCAGTCTAAGTAGTTACTTCCAATTACAGTCTGCAAGGTGCTCTAGCAGAATGATGAATTTAGGAGAACAATGTGGTAGCTTTTGGTCTTCAAAGAAGAGAATAATTTGACAAAGAAATATTTATTTTTTTAACAACTTTAGAATAATGTGGTGAAAGAATCTCTGGAACAATTCTTTAGAAGAAATATTGGGGTTTTACTTCTGGCGGCGACATGCTTGCACCTACTTTCAAAGCTCATTGTGAATTTGTGATATCTTCTTACGTATATTCAAACTATATAATTGGATTTTGAAGTCAGCGCGCATCTGGGTGATGATCTATTATTCTATTGAGTTTTTCTTTGTTCGATAGTACAGAGTGACTATTTTTAAAAACACTGCTTAGACTCTCAGCGTCTCACTCAATTTTTACAACTTCATTTAAATGTATACATAGTCCATCGATATAAACGACAACTAGGTTTTGTATTTTTAGCTTTATTAGTTTTCGAAACGTGTGTTGCACGTTTGTCCCATACGATTATTATAAAATTGAATTATTATATAATGTTGAAATTAGAAATATTAGTTTTACCAATTTATATTTTATTCATTAAATAAAATTCATAATAATCGAATAGTACATTGACCATCAAGCAAGAAATATGAAAAAATAATTATATTACTATAACATATAATAATATGAATATATCTATATGATTTATCCTTAATAATCTAACATTACGCTTCATATTGGTAAGTACACAAATATGTAGCTAGTTAAAGAAATTACATTAGTAAGGAAAGATAAAAGTAAATAAATATTATAAAATTACATTTAAAAACGAATCTAAATGTCATAAAATAGTAATTTCAGCACTAATAAAAATAGACTTATAACAATCATAATTTCATAGAAGATTATATTAAAGAAGTATAATCGGTAAAGAATAAAAAAAATTAAATATTCATAACTTTTTTAAGACTTTTATTATAACAATATATATAGTAAAAAGAAATACACAAGGAATAGAGTTTTTTTTCTCCCGTAACAAAAAAAAAGCAATCTAAAATGGTAAAGATAAAATTTTTAATACAAAATATCATTCTAATGAGGATCAACAAATATTAATATTTTATAACAAAAAAAAGTACTTGAAAATTGCCTAATGATTCACATCAACATGAGGCAAGTGGTAAAGGAAAATTATTTTTTCATGATACATATATATAGCTAAAGATTCATTGGATAAGATGAAAAAGTGAAGAGTTGTTTAAGTTAATTTTTAGAAGTTAAGTGATCTTAGACATGGGGTAGAGGAAAGGTGATTGTTTTTACTAATAATTAAATACATTTAATTAAACTAACTAAAGAGAGAGGATAACAAATTTAATCATTTAACCACATTAATTATAGAGAAAGAATAGATAATTTTTATTTTTTAAAAAAGTAATTCCTAATAATTTCCTATGAAATAATTTATTAACAATTTTCTATAAAATATTTTTGTCTTTCAAAGTTTGACTTTACACATTATTTTTAGAATTTAGTATAATATAATATAATTATTACTTAGTAAGTAAATAATTAGAATTTAAATCATTGTGTCTAGATGCATGTATTTAAATATGATTATTTAATATTAAATTAATTATATATTAATATTTAATTTTAATTTAGGGATAAAATAAAGGCAACATAGTAATTTAACTTTTAAGTTAGGAGCTTCCCACTTATAATGATATATAATATAATTTAAATATGATTATTTAATATTAAATTATATATTAATATTTAATTTAATTTAAGAATAAAATAAAAGTAAAATAGTAATTCAACTTTTAAGTTAGAAACTTCCCACTTATAATAATAGATATGATGCTTATTTTCTACCAAAATTCTTACAAAAATTATCCTTAACAAGAAAATAAGAAAGCTGAGAACAGATTCACGACTAAGGGCCCGTTTGAATGGGCTTAATAAAAGCAACTTTAAAAAAGTACTTTTAAAAGTGCTGAAACTTATTTTTAAAATAAGCAGTTATGCGTTTGGATAAAAGTGCTGAAGTTGTTATGTCAAACGTGAAAAGGGAAAAATGGAAGAAAGAAATGTTAGGGTTATATGGGTAATTTGAGATTGTATAAAAATATTAAGCACAAAAAATAAAAATGTGGTCAACTTAAAAAAGCTTATAAGCTAAAAAAAAAAAGCACCCCTACCCCAGCTTTTAACTTTTGGCTTAAAATAAGTTTTTTTTAACTTAAAATAAGCTGTTTTGAGTATTGTCAAACAGCTAAATAAATCAAAAAATCAGCTTTTAAGTCAATTTGACCAGCTTTTAAGTTGAGCCAAACAGACTCTAATTTACACTATATTCCCATTTTAGGTTACAGATTTGTTTTTATTCGTAAAAAAAGTAATTCATGAAAAATTACTCTTTTGGATAACTCTTTGAAATTGAATAGCTTTAGACTCGATTTTTAATATTTATTTGTAGTTCAACTTTAAAGAAAAAATAGATATAATATTTTTAAGTTTACTCAAAAATAAATTTTTAATTGTGATCTAAAAACAATTTATAAGTCATAGAAATAAAATACTAGTAATAAAAAATCATTTACCGAATAGTTATGTCAAGAAGGAATAATGGGCACAAATTTCACTTTGGAAAATTGGGGACCCATAACCCAAAGCCCAAGATCCACCACCACCTCTTACCTGAAAAAAACAACCAAACAGAACCCACCAAAAATAATAAACGGAAACAAATAGAAAAGAGTTTGGGGAAGATCACAGATCTGTGTCCGAGACTGAGCTGAAAGAACAAATTTGCACACACACACATTAAGTCCCATTTCTTCGTTCTATATACAGAGGAAACGAAGATGATGTCCAGCAATTACACCGCAATTGATAGTCAGAATGTTTCAGGATCTGTTCCTGTAAGTTTGATCTCAATTTTCCTATTTTTTTTCGGTTTCATTGAATTATTATTTTAGCTTGTTGTGCAGATCTAATTGTGTTTTTTTTTCTTGGATATTGCAGGCAGCTGCAGGTCCACCTGGTCAAGTTGCCGTCAAATTCACTGGTAATGTCTTCACATTTTCAACAAAATCATAGGTTTTTTTGGATCATATTGAATTAGTTTGAAAATTTGGATTAATTTGTGATTGCAGAGTCGAATTTGCAGACATTTCCACCTTCCAGTTCCCAGGGGAAAATCTCTGGCGCTTCTGGACCTCCACGTGATGCTGACGGTATCTGCTACTAATTTACTGATATACTTCTATTTTTTTTTATATGAAATAAAAAAAATATTATAATTAGTATGAAGTTTTCAGCTGAATTCGACTGAGTTTTCTGCAAAGAAAGAATAAAGGGGTAAAAGGAAAAAGAAGCAGGATTCATTAGAATTGAGATTAGAGCTAGTGCAGCTTGTAGCTTTGATTCTAGATCTCTGAAATTGGTGATATGATACTTGTATCTGGTAAGGGTTTAGGCACGTTCTAATGCTAAAGTTGAGTTTGCAAACATCTCCTGTTCTCAAGTATATTCAGTTCCGCATCCAAGGGCTTTAACAGGGGTGGATTTACCATTCAGTGTTTGTATTATATCATTGGTTGCTTCATCATGTCATTCTTGGATTAACATTGAGGTTTTCTATATAATACCGCTGTTGCATTAGTGGTGATACATTATTTACCTAACCTTACGTATTTAAGATGTCATAAATAGAGTCAGAATTGTAATAACACTGACATTGACAACATCTTTGACAATTATATGATTTGGATTGTTAACTTGACAGCTGATATGTTTTAATCACCAAAAGATAATGGACATTATCATATGTCAACAATGTTTCAAATTAACTGGCGAAAATATATTCTCGACTCACATCTTTTACTTGGTGCACTTTCATATGCCTATAGATATACAGGGTGGAAAGTGGTGCTTTAATTGTTCTTGGAGATGATCCACCTAAAACGGAACAATCTTGGTCGAACAACTTTGGGTTGATCATCCTTCACGTAAGAGTTTACAAAAAACACAATTATCCTACAAAAAGGGATGTAATTAGAATAGAAGAGTTGGAGAGATGTTGGCATACTACTGGTTAGAAGTGACAAAATGAGGAAGATCTGTGAATTTTCCAAGCAACTGCAAGGTTGGGTTGACCAACCTACACCTAAGAGTTCACAAAAAACACAATTATCCTACAAAAGGGATGTAATTAGAATAGAAGAGTTGGAGAGATGTTGGCATACTACTGGTTAGAAGTGACAAAATGAGGAAGATCTGTGAATTTTCCAAGCAACTGCAAGGTTGGGTTGACCAACCTACACCTAAGAGTTCAAAAAAAACACAATTATCCTACAAAAGGGATGTAATTAGAATAGAAGAGTTGGAGAGATGTTGGCATACTACTGGTTAGAAGTGACAAAATGAGGAAGATCTGTGAATTTTCCAAGCAACTGCAAGGTTAAATTAGGAAAGTAAATTTCTTGAACAAAACAAGATAGCGTGGCACTAGTTCCTGCTTCAATCTGTTTTTAGTAGCGCTGGTCCAAATCAATTTTTTGGAAGTTTGTCTGGAACAGTGAGAAATTCAGTCCTGATGTTGCTTTGGGGAGATTAAAAGTTCTAAAGAAGGGAAATTGGTTTATTAGCTAATGAATTTTTTAAAGAAGTCTTGTTGTGGAAGATCTTGATAGTGGGCAAGACACTATAATAGTGGGGAGATTATTCATCAGTATGGGAGTCAAAATCAGATTAGTTTTGGGGAAGTGATGATGCTTTTGAATGTTATGCTTGTAGTCTAGTACTATATGTCAATGATACATTAGAATTATAGGAAAGAACTTGTTTTGCTTATACAAAATAGGAAATACAAATACAATTTGATGTGAACTATTAGTCAAAATGATGAGGAAGAAATCGTTTTTCCAGAATTAAAATAGGAAAATAAGGAAGTTCCAAAATGGGTCTGGAGGGTTTGATGTGGTCACATTTACCCTAGAGTCTAGGTGTACTTAATTCTATACATGTTTTATCATCTGGTGCTCCTTCATGTTGACTATTGAGTTATTTATCTATAAAAGATAAACTCTCAAAGCTTTAACTGAAGGAAGCTGCAAATCATGCTATTCTGTCCTGGTTATGTTATTAGTATTTTTAGCATATTTATTTTTCTTGGTTCAAGTTGAATTTACTTCTATTCTCTTTTTGTTTAATAATTATGATTTGTTGTTGTAGATTCATTCTCTAAGCCAGTATCTGGTTCTGATGAGCCCCAGCAGAGTGGTTGGTTTCGCGCTTTCACTATTGCTGCTTATAAGCCCTATTTTGATGTTGATACCTCTGATGTTCTAGAGAGGATAAAAGATTCTCTCCTTCCTTTCACTGGGTCCTTTTCTGAGAAGACTGCCGATAGGCCAGATTTGTATGCTCCCCGTTCTTTCATTGTCTATTGTTTATTGAATAAGCATTTACTGTTCTTGTATATTATTCTGAATTATTGCTCTTCTGAAAACTTATCACTAATAGGGCGATTCCCCTTAACGAGTATCCCTTTCTGACATTTCCTTCCAACATTATACTCATTGATCAGCTATTTAGATCTTGATTTTTTACCTCCCTTAGAAATATAAAATGACTAAGAAGCATTTACCGATTGACGCTGTTGGCTGGGAGGTTGTCTATGAGCCTGACATAATATGGGAAAGACTTGTTCGATCTGAATAGTGATTTATTTTGGTGTGAAGTTCCAATTAAATGCAGGTTGTAAGGGGATTGTGTAGTGTAAATTCAGGCTAATGGATACCAAACAGTTCTTTATAATTCTTGTTGCGATAAAGATTTGTTAGTTCTCGTTGCTTGTTCTTTTATGAACTGGCTGTTGTATTGTTTGTTCGTCTAATGTTTGTGTCAAGTTCCTGCTTGAAAAACTTAAGGAAGGGGAACTGAAAGGGAAATTCTGTGAATTTTCCTTTGATCCTCTGTTAAATTTATTTCTTTAACCAAAGGGAGTTTGTCTCAAATTCTGGTGGTATATTTTGAAAATTACCGTTAGGGAAAAAGCAATAAGAAATTTTTTGGCTGTTCTCTTTTTCAATTTCAAGTTGGAATTTGTGCTGTGTGTTGTACTGTTGCTAGTTTATTTTGTGCAAATATGCATTTGTTTTTCTTTCTTCTTCTATCTCTTATTTCTACATGTCTTCTACCATTTTATTAAGCTCCGCTTAAGATTGTCTATTTATTATTCAGGCCTTTTATTTACTTGGTTTCTTTCATAAATTTTACTTTTACTTTTCTTTATTTTTGGGTTGCTTAGTTGTTTTTGTTTGTATGTCTGGGTGGGTTTGAATCATTCAGCTCTCATTGCGTCCTGTTTCATCTTCTTTATGCATGTTCCTCCATCACTCCTGACTAGGATATAAAAACACATGGTTGTTTTTTGGCAAGCGAATAATGGTCATTCTGGATTCTGGTACCTTGCTTGGACATTGCTTAGAATGATGGAACCAACTATGTGATGATTGCTGAATTTGTTTGAAGAAAAGTTATTTCAGTTGTTGGCCTTGTGATACATTATGACTGGTTCCATACCTTTGCTTCCTTTTTTACTTGGTTTCCATTTCGTTTGCTTCGTGGGAATTGGTAGATTGCATATGGAATTTTAATACCTTCCTGGACAAACAAGTAACAACAATAAAGCAACCTACTTAAAAGAAATTAAAATAAGAAAGAACAGTGATTAGCAAGGAAGTTTTGCCACTACTGCTCCTCTGTACGGCTTTAGCCCCAGTTTTACCTGTTCTGTGAGTAAGAAGAAGCTTGTTCAGGACTTGTCTGTGGGAAAGTTTTGCTAAAGGGTGCAATGTAGGAAGAAAAACAATGTTTGCAAAATTTGCATCTAATGTTCTAAACCAGCCTCAACTCTTGCTAGATGCTTATGCAGCCATTACCTGCACTGGATTGTGTCCTTTAAGATATCATCAGTGCATTTTTCAATTGTGTCAATATTTGCGAATTTCTCCTCCTTAACTATACAGTTTTTTCATTTTAGGTATGGCCCGTTCTGGATATGCAGTACCTTGGTTTTTGTTGCGGCTTCCATTGGTACATTTATTACCTATATAGCACACAAGCTACAGAACAAGGAGTGGAACTATGACATCAACCTTATCACTTGGTCCGCGGGTTTATTCTATGGTTATTCCACTATAGTTCCTCTTTGCTTGTTTCTAGTCCTCAAGTACTTCTCTGCCCCATCTGGCCTCGTTCAGTTGCTGTGCCTTTATGGCTATTCCCTTTTTGTCTTCATTCCAGCATTGGTAAGTTTTATGTAATTGGCGGATACTTTGTTGAACTTTTGGAATCCTGTCGCTTGATTAATCATTTCACACTCGTTTTAAGTTTGGCATTAGGATCCATACTAAGATCTATGGCTACTCTGTTTACAGTGTCTGTCTCTTGTTCCCTGGGAGATAGTGAGATGGGTGGTTGCTGGTGTAGCTGGCTTCATGTCTGCCACATTTGTTGCTCTTAATCTGAAACACCACATAGCATCAGCTGGCGAAAGGTGGTTCTTCATTGTGGCTGCTATCTTCCTGTTGCAACTTGCTCTTGCTTTGGTACTGAGGGTTTACTTATTCAACGTTACAGTATAGCTATGAAACTATTGAAATGTATCTAGGATCGGTTTGAATATGTCATATTAATCACAATGAGAGCACACTGTTCTTCGTATCAACTTGTCTGGAAGTGTGGCTTGTTCATTGAAATGGAACTGTATTCATTCATTTTTGACATTATACAATAATATAGTTTCACTTTCACCAGAAGGGTTCGTTCTCAGCTTGTGATCCTCTTTCCCCCTTTATCTTAGGGTGTGTTCTCGTAAGTATGTTTGAGAATGTCACACTTTTGAGCTTTAATAGTAGTCTTGGTGTTCCGGGATCGATGATTTGGTCAAGCATTTTTGTTTAGTGTTGAGATTTGTTAAGCAAAGTCCACCTACAAGATATTGAAAGCATGCGGAAACACTTTTGCTTGCGATGATGACCTTTGAATGACCAAATTTTCAATTTTTTGTCTACCTTTTCTTACTTTGCTTGCTCCTTTTGCGGTCAACATTAGATTGTCAATATTAGTCACTATTTTCTCAACTCTTGCTGCTGCATATACTCATTTTTGTTAATATAAAGAGGGATTCTTTTTTGTTCATACATGTAAATTGATGTATAAACTTTTTCACAAGTCAATGGAGTATATATTTAGAATTTAGAAAAACGTCACCACGTTGGCTAAGACAACTACTATTGCAAGCTATTTTTGTCAGCAGTTAGCACACAGGAAGACCATATAATCTCAAAGTTTAAGCTTATACATTATACAACACGTGTAGTGATCGTATGGTATCTTCGAGTTCAACCAATATGTCATTAAAGTAGTAATTTCTAATTTCCAGGTTTTTTTTCCTTCTTTTTATGGACAAATAAAATAGTGAGAGTAAGAATATAGAGACAGATTTTGTCACACCCTCAAAAACACTCATATATGTTATAATCGTTTGAAGAGCTGATAATAACTTTCTTTTTCCCGAAAATCATAATAGAAAGGACATTTTCTCTGGGCATATTTAACGAATTTTCAAAAATAAAGAGGGCGGCTACACACTACCCCAATGGCTCATCTAGATGCTACGCCTCTAACTCTAAGTGCTCATTTTCCAATACGTTTAGGGCAGTAGAGATATTAGCTAAGTAAGAAAACTATGCATTAGTAAAAGGGCAAAAAACAAGTTGCCCAAATGAATTGGGAAGGAGTTAGATTTAATAAATCAAGAATGCTGTCTGTTAACTTGTTAATATAAAAAAAATCCCAAAAGTACCAAAACATACACAAGTCAGAAAATTTCAAGAAATTAGTACTCATATATAGTATAATCAATTAACCTATTGAAGAAAGAGTTGAACTTTAGAACAAAAAAAGCACAATCAACTTGATGCAAAAGAAAGAGTACCAATAACTCATTTAACTATAGTATATAAATTAAAATTTAAACAAAATGTCACAAGATTTTATGGTCGGAAGAGATAGAGAGAGATGATAATTTAATAGTACAAATCTCTACTTTTAAGAGTGGTTAGAACAAAAGAAGAAACAAAAGATGGTATTAAATCAAGGAAGAAGCCCAAAACAAAACAAAACGCTAAAGATGCCTTTTATGAAAAATGTGTTGTTTCTTCAAAGGCAAGAACCCTTTTTGATTATCAAATCAAAGCTATAAAGTACTTTAACATATTTTTTTCTATTCGATGACACACTTTTCTTTTTTTTCTTAATGGCATGATTTATAGCCATATAAATATGTAAGATCTGTTTTAAATTACAATTTTTTTTTAATTTTGTGATAAGTCTAACGATGTCACATAAATTGAGACGGTGAGAATAGAACACACGGTCAACACAAGAGCTAAATTAAGTTGTACTGCACATAGATATTTGCGCAAACATTAGGTTTTGGCCTTTTAGACTTTATGGAAAGATACTAAGCTAGAGTCAAGTTAGATCCTGAATTTAAGGTATATGGATTTTTACCTAAAAGCTTATAGAAAAAGCTTATTGGTAGAAATTTCTAAGAATTTTAGCAATTACTGTCTGTGCTGACATTACATTTTGTCATCATCCATGCTTCTCCAACAATGTAACTTTTTTTAAATACTAACCAAAAAGTTATTCAACCAAATCCCACCCAAAAAGCCCCCATTGTATATATTGACTAATTACTACACACTTTTCACACACACATTGTTTAATAAGAAAGCTACTACCATGCAGCTCCCTCAAATATATATACTCATTCACAACATCTAATTTTTTTCTCACTTGATTCATTAGCCATATCTTTCATTTTTTTTACTCTCAATAAAACACATTCTCAATACAAAATATATCAAGCAAAGAGAGACAGTGAGAAGAAGTTCATCAAAGGGCCATGCTTGCCAGAACAAGTATCATACTTTTATTAATGATCTTTGTGACGATACAACAAGGTGTTTTGGGAGGTCGCGGGTACCTAATGGAGCAAGATAACAACAACATTAATATGGAAGATAATGCACAAAGTCCTGTAGCTACTACAAGGAGCATCAGCCACATTATTGGAGATGATGAAGGTGGTTTTGTTGCATATGTCAATAGAGAAGTGCCCTCATCTCCTGATCCCTTGCACAATAGATGAGCAAATTAAAGAAGATATAACATATAGTTGTATATATATAGATAGATGAGTGCACTAGGTACTTGTTATCTCCTACCAGCATAGATGACACGGGTAACTCAAGAAATTAAATAACCATTTTGTCATTTTTTTGTTTCTGCTAGCTAGGATTTAAGTCCTGCTTTCATAGAGCTCATCAGATCGACCACTAAACCACACCTTTGGGTGCGAGTAATATTCTTATATTTTGTATTTTAGGAAAAAGAATTGGTATGATCAGAGATGCTTCATAACCCCTTGCATGAAAGATAAGAAACATGAAAATTGCTCTGTAAGGGGTTGTGAAACATTGTCATTTTCATAATAATGGTCAAAACACTTAGGGGTTCCCTTTCTCTTTTTTTTTTTTTTTAGTTTAATTAAGGAGAAATTACTGCCTTTTCTTTGATTTCTTGTAATCAACAGCTTTGGAAACCCCTTGAGATTTCAGAATGAGTTGTTCTATTCTTTCATTAGTTAAATTGTGAAACTTGCTTTCATGTACCTATTTCCCACTCATGTGAATGTTCTCCCTTTTATCAAGTAGAATTCGTATTATTGTGTGATTTATGTAGGGCCATTTGTGGATTGTATAGAGTGGTAAACATTGAACAAGACTTTGAAACTTGGAGAATAAGTCAAAAACATCTTTTAATTATTGACTTCAATAGTAGGAGAAATAAATAATTGCCTTTTTCCTCATTAATTTGACTAATAATTGTTGTTATTTTCCTGGGGATGGGACTAATAAACTTGTAGAAAAAGATAAACATTATGCATACGCGTTGAAAATTAACCTCATCGTAGGACCCTTTTATCACATGGATTAAGGACTAATTAGGTCCTACATTGAGTTACTTCAAAAAGCAACTTTGAGTTTTCTTCAATTTCCTCTCATTTAATTTTTAATATTCAACTTTAGGCTCCCTTTTGAGTATATCAATATGCCTTCTGAAAACTGGTAGAACTAGAGAATTGATAATGAGAAGTAAATGTTAATGAGTTATAAACTGATGTTATATGCATCCACTTCAACAACCTATTGTCATTCCACCATAATGGTAATGTAGTCATGAGATTTAATTTCTCATATTATTAACCAGTCCATTATGTAAAACCCCTCAATTATTAGTGACAATTCCATCTACAGTAGGGATAACAACAAAATATAGGTTCAAAGAAGGCTTAAATAATCATGCAATTAACATCTGCCAATACAGTAATAGGAGTTGAAAGCAATCAATCAACTTAAACCAAAAATGACATCAAGTGGGAGATAGCAATCTGCTTTTCTATGTCGATGACCCACTTAAATAAACTGTTTTCTAATTTGTTTGTTACACTACCAAATTCAAAACTATCTGCCCTTGCCTTCATTCCCTTGTTCTTCCTTAGGACTCCTTATAAGGAGGGCCCAAGTTCAAGAGAATACATGATTTAGCTCTTTTCGCAATGGATTTTTAAGTGTATAAGATTGGATAGATTATCATGCCTTTGACTTCTTTCCTTTAGCTTCTTTTGCTGGAGGGGCCTGGAAAGGCATGAATGTCTTCCCACCCATGTATGGTCGTAGAACCTCAGGAATTTCAACTCCATCCTCCCTCTGGTTGTTCTCAAGTATACAGCACATAGTCCTCTCTGTCGCTGTAAGGGTGGAGTTCAATAAATGCACATACTGCTTCGCTTGCTCATTACCCTAAGGAAACAATAAATGTCAGTAGTTCAAATTTGTGTGAAACAAAATATGAACATTGGAAACTAAAGTTGACTTGCACTGTTCGATAACACTCTGAATATACACTAGTGAAATACCTTCTTCTGTCCAAACCGAATTTCCAATTTCCTTGACTGATAGTCTGTGCAGTTTGAGCAGGACACAAGCTCTCTATAAGCCGATGATGCAGGGTACCACCCTTCCAGATCATACTTCTTTGCTGCTGCATCATTCAGTGCGCCAGAAACAATAGCCACAATTTGGTAAGGAATGTTTAGCTGTGAAAAAGAAAAGCTATGTTTAGAATCTGTTACTTGCACCCAACCCACACATCACAAGGGGATGGTTAAAAGCTCAGTGGATAACAGGCCCACCCTTCTATAACCTTCTCGACTTAAATACTAGGTTTTTGTCTGCGGCAAGTCTTGAATCTGTTACTTGCACCCAAAGCTTGATGTGCAAATTCACCCTAGACATGTGCTACTGGGGGGTCGGACCTGGTAGGATTAGTCAGTTGTGAACAAGCAGGTCCTGACTAATAAAAACTAAGCAAAACAGTTTCTGGGACTATTTTCAAAAGAATTTCATTCTGCAAATGGCGAATCAATTAGAAGCAATTCATTTATTCATTACCACTATATCTTAAAGCACAAAATTTCAGGATTTAACAGAATGAATTGCTTAAACAAACAACTTTGATTTCAAAAGTAGCTAATTGCATATATATCTAAATACGGGCTATTGGACAAAAGAAAGATTATTTCAAGAGAAGAACTCCTGATGGTTTTGCAAAGGTGTGTTGAAGAGGTGCAAACCCAGACAAAGTGACATTCTGATTCCAATGAATACCTGCTATATACAAATTG